AATATTTTTTTGTATTTTATATAAGGTGTGCTTCCGTGAAATAAGTGTTATAGAACTTAAATTATTTATATATATATATATATATATATATATGATATTTTGTATTTGTTTATCTTTATGTGAAATATTGCATATTATAGAACTAAAATTTAAACTAATTGTAAAAAAAAAGTTAGTTTAAACTTGATTTAAATGATTTATAAATATAAACTATAACTAAATTGAAACTAGAATAACAAGAAAACCATAGCATTTAATAAATGTAAACCGAAACTGTTGCAGCCACTGTGGAATTAAATGAAAACTCACCTGAAACCTAGTAAAATTGAAAATATTGAAATCTAATTTGAAAGTGCTAGTGTCTGTCTTTTCGTTGCTTTCTGTTTTTTCTGTTCTGTCTTTTTATGGCATATTTTACTGTCAAATGTCGAGAGCGGACTGTTGTAGCGCGAAAGTACATTGCTATGATGCGCGAGCGCAGATCTCTCTTCTCGCACGCGGATTTCCTTTGCTCTCGCTCTCGCTCCGTTATAGAGGGGTTTGACCAACCAGTTAGACAGACAGATTACTAGGTCATTTATTTGCACAAATCATCCAAGCACCCAATCCCAGCCATTTCTAATATACTTTTGATTAATATGACTAAATATTCAATTGTAACTAAATTAAAGATCCATCTTTGATTGTCAAAAGAATTCCAGCCAGTTCGATTTCATGTAGCATTTTAATCGGTCAGTCATGGAAGTCTGATTTGTTGATAACTTTTGACAACGTTTAATCCAGGTGCGAAAATAATTAATGTCTAGCGCAAGAGCACGGAGAGATTTGCGAGTGCAAAGGACACAGTTTGAGCGTGCACACGGGCACTCTTTGAGCACGAGGAGAGATTCGCGATGGCAACGGACACGTTTTAAGTGCGCACACACTCTCTGGGAGAGAGCGGCGCATATCTGAGAGCACGCATCCGGTTTAGTGCAAGAGCAAAGGAAATCCGCGTGCGAGCGGAGAGATTCGTGCTCGCGCATCATAGCAATGTACTTTCGCGCTACAACAATGCGCTCTCGACATTTGACAGTAAAATAACGCCATATCTTTTTTGTTCTTTTTCACTGTGACAGACACAGTTAGTCAGAAGTACGATTAGAGTCTAGAACTACATGTATCATCGACTGACACCCGACTGGCCAAAAGATACAAAATGAGCTTGTTAACAGCTGTGAGTCAGTGCCAAGATGACGTGTGTGTGTGTGTGTGTGTGTGTGTGTGTGTGGAGAATCCAGACAGTGTGTCTTCATTGTCTGACGGGTAAATCAGGCCGGCTAAATGGAGACACAAGCCCTGTGTGTCAGTCCTGTCAGCCACAGTAGGAATTCTGGGCCTGATCCTGTTTGCGCGGGATGGAAAGATTCAGGCAGGATTAGGCGCCACGATTCGTCACTCTGGAATTACATGTGCCGGAAAGCCTTCTGGATCACATTAATGTTAGCTTGACTTAAACGTTTACGATTCTTTCAATGTCGTCCACCACCTGATGTTTTATTCACTCGCGGTTATAAACGTCCCACTGTTGCAGGGACGGATTATGACACAGCAGTGCACGGACTGATTAAAGGCCCCCCTCGGTTGAAAATTTGTTCATTTTTTTATTCGAAATTTTCCCAAACGTGTTAACTATATCATAAAATATCACAATTCTCAAATATAAGTAAATGCATTTTGCACCTTTTATAGATCATGTTAGTTTATCTATAATGGGCTATGGGAAAAGTAGCCTAATATTAGTGTAATCTATTAACTAGCCGATGCATAAAACCCGTTTTTTAACTTGTACTAGATATGGGTGTCATGTCATAGAATATTTTTAATACGACTGACTTTGTATTTAACGTAAATTTAATCAAAACATTGTAAGTTACTAATTATAACACTTTCATTGTACATAAAGAGAGCAAAGAATATTTGCATTATCAAAGAGTATTAACTTCAGTCTAGACAGAGTTCAAGCACTCTCAACAACTTCCATTATAATCACTGAAGCTGTTTATACTGTGAAATTAATATCTTACTTACATCGTACACACATCTGCACTTTGTTTATGATGAAAGAATTCGCCAGAGAGCAGCATTCAGTCAGCGAGCGCGCGCACTGAACAAAACACAGGCTTTTCAGTGATGACTGACTCATCTGAATGCCTCTGATTGGCCATTGCATTCATAAGCTCAACAGAATCCTGTGTGGTTGGTTATAATGCGCAGCACTGTAAAAACGTGTCTGGCTCAGCGCCAGCCAAAGCATGAACGCAGATTTGAATTTGGCAGCTGATTCTGTGCCGCACTGAACATTCTAATCGTATCAAATATAAAAAAATATATTATTCAGACATTTTTAGTCTTTTGGACGCTGCATTCAAAATCCACTTTGCTTAAAATCCTGAGGGGGGCACGGTTGAAATCGCGTTCCTGGAGGAGCAGTATTTCGGCTTGGCCCCCACCTCTGGTCTAGTGCCCTGGGCACGTGCCCGGTAGGCCCGTGCGTTAATCCGTCCCTGCACTGTTGTCTGAGAAACAGCTTATGGTCATTTTGCTAAATTTGAGTTGCTCTAGAAACAGGAATGTGATGGATAACCTCATTTTTTGTCTATATATTAAAAACAATATATCAAAATATATTGCTTTCCGTATTTGTATTGTTGGCAACATCAAAGGACAAGTATTCAGTTGAGCTTCTGTGGAGTTTTTTGGCTTTTAATCCATATTTATTATCCCAAACTTCCTGTTTCAATAGGAAATCCGTCAACACAGGAAATAAAATTGTGCTCGTCAGGTCATTTCATCAGTGTGAATGTTTTTAATGGATAAAACTGTATATTCATAATGTCGGCCACCGTTTTATCTAGTTTAAGAGCAACGCCACACTAAACCACCCAAAAAAAAGAGATTAATGATCGTATTTAGAGTGCAATGCTCTCTGGGAAACTCTTGCTCTTCATAAATCAGGGTGGTGGTCTGATCTGTGTGAAGCTGGCGTGTTAATGTTTCCCTGAGCCGATGGGAGATCCTGGAGTCTGTGTGTTTTTCTCTGGGCTGGGCTACTGAATGTCTCTTATGATCGTCTATAATCATTCACTTCTCTTCTTTCTCCTCTCTGAGACGGACCAAATATGGTGTATCTCACAAAAAACATGTTCAGGTCCCATTTCACACCAAAATCAAAAGAATAAGAGAGACGATAATATAGTTTACATTAAAAAAAAGCCTTTCAGGACCATAAGTTTGCATTGTGTTTTATTTTCATGACAGTTCACCACCAATTCTTATTACATACTGTGTCTGTTCATTTTTACAAGGCATTATAGAAATGTTCACATTTTTTTCCTCAATTCTCAGCTTCTCTTATTATAATGAATTTTTATTTTATTTAATTTTTTATATAATATTTTTAATTGATAAAAGGCAACTATAATGTATAAATAGTTTTTTAAAATATATATAAAAAAATCTGTTTTGTTTATTTTTATATATTTTTATTGACAGTTCACTACCAATTCTCATTACGTACTGTGTGTCTGAAAAACAATTTTCTCAATTCTCAAATTTTTTTATTATAGTGAATTTTTATTTAATTTTTTTATTTAATATTTTCAA